CTGTGACAGGCCTGTCATAAAGCTAATTTTTAATCCCCAGATAATGGCTGATGGAATAAGATATATATATAGCAATGATGTTCTGTCCCAAACACCATCCTATACTGAAGAAACATCAGAAGAATGTTTTGTTCTTTTGTTTTCTGAGGCGATGACTGTCTTAAAGGAGCAGAACAAAGCTGCGGGGCTTTTTCATGATTATGAAGTCACCTCCCACACATCGTAATCATCATGCAGCTTGCTGTAATTTTAAAACTTGAATATTAGTTTTCTTTCTAAAACTCTAAATTGTGAGGTGCTGACATTATTGCACTTATGCACATCTTGAAACTGAACAGAGTCTGTAAAAGATATCTATGTCAGATTTAAGCAACACGGACTGGCGTCTAATGCTTGGACATGCCCCTTGCATAAAGGTGAAGGTCTCTTATGTAATTATTACCATAATGTAGATTTATTGTGCATGAAAAGGCAAAGAGACACATGAAAAGATGCATACATACAGAGAAGAAAGTATCCAGTAAAGAATTTCACATTCATTGCTTAATCCAAAGGTAATGAAAATAAATAATATTATTGAAGAATTGACACAATTCTGAATCAACACTGATGACATAATAGAGTAATAATATTTTAGAGTATTTCTCCTAAATAAAAGTAAAAAAAAATTGCATTCATCTGTTCTACTATTCCAAAGAGTTAAATAGTCTCTTTTGCAATCTAGAAAACTTTTTAGTATAAGGCATGACATTTATAAAATTGTAAGTTCTGACTTTTATAGATTACATTAGCTTTTGTAACAATTTACCTAATGTGATCTACAACATTTTATGAAACCAGATATTCCTCACCTCAGTTAATTCTATCATTAGAGAAGAAATAATAAAAAAGAGTTCAATATTAGATTGCACTGTTAATATTACTCTTGGAAAACACTGGGGAAAGGATTGAAAGGAGAATTATTCGTTACACTGCAGTCTTACGTTTTACGAATGTTTTCATAATCAATTGTGTTGATCAGTTTGGACTTCAAACTTTTAACTAATAAAAAATGTGTTATGGGGTTATTTTTTAGATTTTATATTTCAAAATAGTAATTTATATTTTATTTAGAAACACACAAGAAACAGTTGAATTACATAAGGTATATATAATACGAAAGAAAAAAGGAGAAAAAAAAGAAGAAAAATGTGATCAGGAACACAAAATGCTTCTAATATAACTACTTGATTCTCACATTTCCAGTTATTCTGTCTGTAAATGAGGAATACATATGAGAACAATTACTTTTTGTGAACAGCATCTCTCCAGCTCTAACAGCAAAGGACTGAGCTTGGGCTGCACTACATGATCAGGCATCTGTGTTAAAATGCCAATGGCTACCTGCATTTTGTTCGGACACTACATGTACACTGATACACGTGTAAGCTAACTTAGAACTCATTTATCTACAGTATACTAGGGATACTGCCAATCAGTGACATCTCCCTCTGTAAAAAGAGGTCAAGAAAAGACCAAGGCATTATCAAGAGGCAGAGATCAACTTTGTTTATTTTAGGATATATTCAAACAAATGTCTGAGAAATATGGCCTGCTACAAGGATACAGGAGTTTTAATGAATAAACAAGGACATTTGCTATGTAATTTTCCCACTTAAAATGTGATTATTAAAGGATAAATATATACCATATAAACACTGTAAGTTGCACTTAACATACCTTGGACAGTAAATCATTCAAATATGCAATTTTCATAGACTACTAAAAGAAATAATTAACTTTTTTAGCTAATGGATAAAAGCAGATGCACAGCACAGGTATGTCTCAGTAATATTAGGTCCATAATGCTACTTAGCCATACTTTCTTCTAGCAAATATCCTATTAATTTTTGCCATGCCCTTTAAGTCTTTTGCCTTACAAACATGAAATAAAACTAATCCACTACTGCCATTAAGTAAATTTTGCCAGAAAAAATTATATAGCTAAACATAAAAATCTTGCAGATTGTTGTCGGGAGTTTTCCCCCCTCTTTCATCCTTTACCCTTTATTATTTTTATTACATGGACTGTAACTAATCAAAATCATATTGTTTTTATGCAATTAGATTATATATATACACTTTCTTATTCTAAACACAAGCATTCTAAATACAGGAGAAAATATCTGCATTTCTAAAATCATCTTTCTACTGGATGTCTATCTTCCATTGATAGCAAAGTTTAAAAAAAAAATCACTTCTTCAGAACGAAAAATTTAGAATAAAGAAGTCATACACAGGTGGAGCTCCATCTCGTCTACCTACAGCTGCTTTTAGTAATAATATTATGAAAGTAATGCGCCAGAGACCACATTTTTTCTAATTCATTTTTACTGTATTTTCACCAGGGAGCAATGAAAATGGGACTCCAGGCAAGCTGACTACACACACTAGTAGTAAGACACAGCTCACAAGACATCAATCCTCTGATATGTACCAAAATAAATGACTGAAAGAAAACTATTTATGAGAAAGTTGTACTTCTACCTATTTTGACACTTAACCATAAATCCAATATGTCAAAAACTTACATGACAGAATAACGTCAACCACCAGAATAACATCAACACACAAAAACAACAGGTCTTCTTCATTTATCAGTATTTCTTAAATAAACTCAGTGACAGCTATGTACTACTGGTGTCAATATACTCCCACTCTGCACAATTACAGATCATCAGAACAACTGTTCATCACTGACTGAACACTCCCAGTAATCATAAACCTTCTCATATGCATGGACAAGGCCCTGAATAGCTAATGTCAAAGTAATCAGTCTTTTTCCCTGACACAAACTCACATGTTGTGGTTGTGCTGAAAAACAGTCTTTCAGGAAATACAGGAGAAAACATCCTACAGACTCATAACACAGGTGTTTCCCTGATCTCTTCAATTAAAATCTTTACTAAGAAATTGATTAGTGCGAAATGTAGAAAAATTGTCCTTAGAAATGTGTAGGTAGCAACCCTTCTTACCTTACTAGACTAGGCAAGATTTATACCAATAACCTAAGATCAGAAGCTCTATTTCTGAAAAGAAGTCATCAACTATCTTATTGCCTCCAAAATTCAGGTAAAGGATTTATAAGTCTTGTAATCTTCATAATTATTGATGATATTTTACTCAAAGCTTTTAGTTTTACTTCTATGATACTTGCAATTCAATCACTGCTGTCTACCACACAGCCTTGACATTGATTACTAACACAGTATTGCAGCTACATCGCCATGGCAACTTGTGTTCAGATAACTTCTCAAGCCGTATTTCTATCAACCACAGGAGATGTCCTATAAATCACAGTCAATCCTAAAATATGTAATATTTATTAAAAAAACCCAAACCACCTAATCTTCCATTACAGTCCCACAACCCTTCTAGTTTGTGTAATTTATCAATTTTCTCACTTTTTCAGTTCCTTTCTTCCTTTCTAGCAAACCAGTATTCATTACTAAGGAGCTGAAGTTAGTTTCTATCCAAAACCTAAGGAGATGGCAGAAAGAGGTGTGCAGTCCCTCAGAGACAGAAATTTTGAATCTGAATTTTGTAGATAGAAGAAGATTTTGGCTAGACAAGACAGACTATTTTCTCCAACACTAAAGCTGTTGAAATTTGTGGTCCACTTCCTCTGATTTTCTTCTCATTTCCTGCCATCTCACTTCCATCTAGCTCACTTAATGGACAGAAGACCCTTCAGATTTTTGGCTGAGTCAGTCTTTCTCTGGCTATTGTGCTGCAACTGGCTTCCCAAGGAAATGAAGGAGCATCAGATGTGCTACCACAAAAGAGAGAGGGAACACAGCTGAGAGTTGTACATCCAGTAGCAATGAACAAGCAGATTGATTTGACCGGGTCCAATCTGAATGCCAGGTACATCTGCACAAATAAAATATGACACCGTTCTTTTGCTTCCCAACCCTGCTGTTTGCTGTTCTAAAAGGATCAATATTCTGTGTATTCCAAATTACGCAGAGAGCAGTTTGTCCCAGTGTCAGGGAGATCTAATGGTGCTCTCCTACCCCACACTTGTGTATGAACAAAAGACACTACAGTATATTAAAGCCATGTTCATAATTCCTAAGCTAACAAAAGTACAACCTAGTATTATGAACTTCACCCTCAGTTCCTTTAATATTTTCAATTGTAAGAAAAGCAAAAATTTCATTTTAAACTAATTTGTTGAAGCAGCAAAGTTTTTAAAGTGTTGTATATTAAGTGCAGAGTTTAAATATTTTTCTTGTATGACTGTCCTCAAACAACAGCTTAACTGCTTAATATACTTGCGAATGTGTCTAAACACTTCCAAGTCCAAGTTTAATACTTTATTATTCCAGCTTAGCTTCTCATATCCAAATCTATCCCGTAAGATTCATTATTATATAGTGCTTTCTGCTACACAGATATTTTCTGCTGGGGAGAAACTGAAAGCAGTTAACACCTGCGTTTTGAAAATGAAATTTTAGTTTGACGTGAATCAAAAAAGCATTAGAATTAACAGACAAGCATGCTGCAAACAAAGCTGACAGTCATCTTCAGTATAAAACAGAGCGGTGTTTTTAATAGCATGCAAATACAGCTGACATACATGTCTTTATTCAATTAGTTCCTAGTTTTCAAGGGCAGAGTTGTGTGCACACATCCAAACTGCATTTTCTAATTTTAGAGACTTTCTATATTGAATATTTAAAGCTACTCAGTATCTGAATCAATTTAACAGAATTTCACTTAAGGTACTTTTCAATTTTGGCTTTCAATAATTTACATTGTATACCTCAACACCGTTCATGACCTGATCCATAATTACTTCCAAGCAGATCTCTTGGTTTTCTTTTTGAAGTATTTCAGAACAGTTATACTTCCGTTATATTTTTTATGCCTCTTGGTATTATAAAAGTTTCATACCAATCCATCTGTGTATCTAACTTACTTCTGTGGCTAAAATAGCAGGTAAAACAGGCACTTACTCTTCAGTGGTTATAGGGCACTCCTCCACTCCTCCTTTTCCAAATGACTTGACAAATCAAATCAACTGCCTTTTTAGCTGATGGGAAAAAAAAAACCAAAAAAACCACACACGTCAGAATTCAAGGAAATGAGGGAGAGGGTATTTTACTAAAAAAATCTCTTTCAGAGAGAAGTGTAACGGTGGTATTAACACAAACTTTTTCTCATAACACCTAGCAAGGATCTCTGAACATGAAATTCCTTCACAAGAATACTGTGGCATGCATAGAATTAACATATTTAGACAATAAGAAAGAAAAAAAAACAAAAACAATAATATTAAAATTATATAAATAAATATAAAAATATCTCAAGTCTCTGTCTTTTTACCAAACTGTGAACCATCAATATTTCAACAATGAATTAATTTTTTCTAATGTCTTCTTCATTGGTCTACTGTATTAAAGGATTAGCCACGGTTTGTGTCTACCACCATACTAGTATCAATTTTATTTAATTTGCAAATACAAATGTTTTCCCCTTTATACAGAAATAAGCTACTTTGAAGAAGCTTTTATTTATCTATTTTTTAATACAAAAGCTGCAAATATCCATTGGAGAAAATGTAATTGAAAAGAAGGCAACTGTAAGAAACATATTTTCCAAAGTAGAGGATAGTCACTGATTATCTAACATTCCCCAAAGGTACCAGTAAGCAATGCAGTGCTAGCACTGGCTATTCAACTGAGTTATTAATAATGATAATTCTATCACAAATGAAATGTTCTGGAATTATTCCTATAAAACTAGTGTGATGAAGCACCTACAATTTACAGTAAGCCTCATTCATAAGAAAGCAGATAACAGAACATTAAATAGTCTTTTCAAGCCTAATGAATATTAGAGATGTCACCACGTTGAACACACCTCTGTTTCACAAAGTATTTAAACCCATCATGACTAAAACATGAAATAGGAACAGTTTGCTTTCTAAAAGTCAACAGCATTCTCATACCTCTTGTCAACACCAGTCACAGATTTTAAATGACCACCACAAGTTACAAAATGTTTTTCTATTCATAGCAGCTGCTGGTGATGCTGAGAGATTACATGAAGAGCCCTATTGCGCTACACACACCCACTCCTTACACACTGCTAGGAGACAGCCCCTGTATTGCATAGGTGAAAAGGTACTAAAAATATATTTCTGGAGAGAAGCATTCCCTGAATGAAAAGTGGCCATTATCTCCATGTTACAAACAGAAAAATGAGGCATGCGAAATATCATGGGGTAAAATCTACTTGAGAGCAGTGCTCGGATAAAATGAGGTCTGAACAACATCTGTCCACTCTACTAGCTCAGTTACGCACAGGAGAGAAGCGTAGATGAGCTGCTACTAACTTCCCATCCTTGCAAGGCCTTCTAGGCAGGAGACCAGAAGCAGTGTGCTGGTTAACAATTGCTTATTGGGTTTAGATGTGGAGAAAGTCAAAGAGACTGACTGAGGGATCAGTGAGGCCTGTGCTGACGAACTAGGTGTAAAACCATGAACAACAGGACTGCAACCTTGCAGGAGGAGCCCAGGGTTGAATCACTGCAGGGGAACGGAGCTCTGCCCTATGGGCCTGGGGCATCACCACTGCTGGCAGTGGATGGCCTCTCCCCTGAGCCTGTGGTGCTGATCATGTCCATGAGCAGGGCCACTGCAGCTATGGCACATGTGAATATACACACTATACCAAAAATGCAAGTGTATCGTGCTCCTCCTCGGTACACCCTGCCCAGCTGTCCTTTTGTGAGACATTAAATTACTGACTCGGACTAAAGTGTGTGTGTGGGGGAAAGGGACAGGTCAAATTTCATGGAGGTGAGGTGGTACCCTGTCTCAAACTGCAGCCCCTGCGAGCCTACTTGGGCAGCCCTGGAGTAGCTGTCCGTGAATGGCATCCCGGGAGCACTGCCCACACCACAGCTCAGAGCCCCTGACCCAGCCCCAGATCGGTTGGCACACTGGAAGTCCTGCCTGGGGAGGGGGTGTCTGGACACAGGGGGGTCAAAGCAAATAAAAGCAGCAAGATGTGCTCTCTGTCTTCATTTCAACCCTACCATTTGGTCATGTGGAAGCTGAACTTGCACAGGACTCTCTAGTGGTAGCTATAATTTTTGTCTTTTTCTCTCTCTTTCTTTACTTCTTCTCTTAATCTCCTTTCTTATTATTTTGAGTAACTTGAGAATGAATGGTTGGATTTTGCTAAATGGTGCTAAATTGCTAAAGCAACATGTTGCTTTGTGGAATGCTTTATTTTGGTTGAATGTTACCCTTTAAATTTGAGTCAAGTTCCTTATTTTTTAAAGTTTACCAGTAAAGTACTTCCTGAGAAAACATGTGCAGCATCTTCTCCTTTGTGCTCTCTCTTAAGGTGTTAAAAGAACCGAAGGCTCTTCTAGTATGTCCAGAGTGCAAATATTGTTGGAGCTTTGTATATTTTTAAAGTAAACCCCTCTGATGGGCTTGTAGCTTAAGAACTTGGGGTCTTACACCTCTGGCAATACTCAGCCAATGCAGAAATGAAAACCTGTATCAATGGGTAGAGTGGTCCTCTTCTTGCAGTTGCCTCACCCCCAAATTCCCTGTGACTCCAACCAACCTGCAGAAGTACCACAAGATAGCTGTAGCAGAACAAAAAACAGGTTTTTCTAATACCCAATGCATTCCAAGCACCTTACCATCAACTTACTTCTTACAGCTTTTTCCTTTTTTATTCCCTAGAAAAAAAAAATCCACCTAGTATTATTTTTTAACTTACCAATGCTACAATTAAAGTTTTATCAAGAAAATTTATTTTTTATTTATTTTTGTTACAGAGGGATATTTTGTTCAAATTTCTGTTATTAACATTTTCATTCTTGCACTGCAGGAAACATCAAGTTAGAGATGAGAGATCCTGTCAAAAAAAAAAGTTCATTTTCTGATGATAGAGTACTTAATCGAGTGCTTAATTAATCTCCCTTCCTCACCTATTTCAAATTAATGTCATCTTACTCATCTCCAGAATGACACCTGCCAGTACAGGTGTTTTACTTGGCATTTCTGTGTGTGCTCAAGTCCTGCAGAATGAAAACAGAGTTGGAGTCAGGAGACAATACTGGAAGGGCACAAACGAGAACACCAGTGTGGTTGTTGCATGCTCTGGTTCCCAAAGCTACTCCATGAAAAATATTATTCCCACAAAATTGCAGGAGAGACCTGGGAAGAAATGTCAAGGAATAGAAAGGGCAAAGCAATTTCCTGTTCTCTTTTTGAGAACTCCTGGAGAGATAAAGGTAAAGGAAATTGCAAACCACCAATAGAAAAGCAGAAGAAGCAAAGTAAGGACATGGGGCTACCACCCAGTTTTGCCATTAGAACACAGGGAAAAGTAAAAGTGAGAGCTCTTACAAGACTCCTTTCTTTCATAGTACATAAATGGTGATTATAAGAAAGATGGGAACAAACTTTTTAGTAGGGCCTGTTGAAATAGGACAAGGGGTCAGGGTTTCAAACTGAAGGAGTGTAGATTCCAACTGGATATAAGGAAGAAGTTTTTTACAATGAAATGGTGAAACACTGGAAAAGGTTGCCCAGAGGGGTTGTGGATGCCCCATCCCTGGAAACATTCAAGGTCAGGTTGGATGGGGCTTGAGGAATCATATAGTTGAAGATGTCCTAGTTCACTGCATAGAAGTTGCACTAGATGAGTTTTAAAGGTCCCTTCCAACCCAACCCATTCTATGAGTTGATGATTCTATGATCACTGCGGAAGCAACTGTTTACCCTTAAGGAAACAATTAGCTAAGGAACTGGTTCAGGAAATGAAAAAATAATGATTTATCAAGGAGATCAGTAGTGTCTGAAGCAGGAAGACATTAGATCAGCTCAACGGATTTAGAAGGCCAAGATAAATTGGCTGAATGCTAAACTGTAAAAGAACAGTCTGCAAAGGCTCTCTTCAGAGTTTTTATATTTTTTGTTTGCTTTTTATCACCAAATGATGAAAACAGAGTGAGCTAAACAGTCTACCCAATAGTACCAAGCTCTTAACACTCAATCTCCAGTGGATGAACCTCAGCCATCTCCATGTCTGTTACCTTCTATATTCCAAATAGTGTTGTGTATCTTTTGCAATAAAAGGGCCTGAATGAATATTAATAAACAATTTTTACACTGCATAATCTGCTCTTCTTTCAGCTGTTCAGTATAAAATACCATAAGGTTTTGATGCCTTAAGCCCCTAATGGTTTTTTATTTTTCTAATATTTGTAAGACTTATAAGTTTTATAAGTAGTGGAAGTAGATTTTAAAAGCAGCAACCCCTCCCCTTCTTTGTCCCTTGTCCCCTTCCCTTTCTCCAGTACCCTTGTTTATACATTCCTTAACCCTCTTACCCCATTCTATGCTCCCTATATCAATCCTACTCCTGAATACAGCAGAGATGTTTAGTCTTTTGTCAAGGCAAGGCCTAGATTGTTGGCAGAACAGCATATCAGGGCCTAAACCACAGAATACGGTCAAGAATTAGGTAACTATGTACCCTTTGTGCTCTGATGAAGATGAAGATGGGATGAATAGGGGGTCCCGAAATACACCCCAGACCCATTTTAAGGGGGTGGACCCGGAGCGGACCAGAGTAAAGGCCCCAGGGTGGACACATCTGGGATTGGATGGATGGTGTTATAAAGTGTAACATCTCAGGCACGGCCGGCGGGCGTCGTGTAACATCTTAGCCTTGGCAAAATAAACCCTTTCTTATCTCACCCCTAATTAACTGCTCTGGAGATTTTTTCAGCATCAAAATTCCACGGCAATTCTTTTCTTTTAAAAGTGATCTAGAATTGTAAAAATAGTAATAATTAAAAAGAAATAACGTATTTATGTTCTTGAGCTCTAGCAAAACAAAGCACAACACATTCCATCACTTCCTGCAACTACACTTATTTAAATTAAATGCAGAAACATTCATCAGCAAGAGATACGAGTTTATAACTTTGGTTATAAACCTTAGGGTAATTCCTGCAGATTTTTTGTCTTGAGGTCTGTGATTCATCTATTCTTTCTAAAATGGAAATATGCTCCACAATTTCTACTAGACACTGTTGTAACATCAAATGAAGTGTGTCTATTTATCAGAACAACCCATTAGCTTCACTTTTTTCTATCACTTCTCTAGCTTGCCTTGTTCATCCTGCACCCTTTCTTTGTTCTGCAAGAGTTTACTGATACCATAATTAAAACTAGAAATTTAACTCCAGAAAGGGCTTAGTTTTACCAGTGTAAACTTTATTTCTGGGCAGAAATAAAAAGCTTATTAAGTGATTTCAGAAACCAATTACTTTATTTGAAGCTGTGCACATACAGTATCTCAGAAGCTGCTCAATGCTCTGTATTCCTACAGATGTCCCTCATAATGTTACAATTTTTGTAGTTCCTAATGAAGAAATAGTTAGTCTGTTTCGTATCACTATTAATATTTTCCCAATTGTTCTGTAGAAAATTACAGTGTGCCATCACAAATCCAGTTACAATACACATAATTATAATCTTTGCTAACAGCGTGACCCTAAATGATTCTTTGGATATCTAAAATATTTATAAAATATGGACACAGGAAAAAAAGAATAAAGTTTAAGTAACAGAAGTATTTTCAGTGCTTGCTAAGGAAAGCAGTCCTCTCAGTGACCGACAGAGGAAACCTTTAGGAAACAACTTCTGGGAACCAAATTAAAGTGCTCAAATGCTGTTTCTGAAATGGTTATTTAAATTATTTCTAAAGTCACCTCTGCCACTGTGCAATAGTTATTATTAATAGGGAGAAACAAACACTGTATGCAGTTATTCCTTTCACTTATGATTAAAGAAAAAAAAACAAGTGGTTGAAATGATTTAGTACATCTTTTGACCAAGCGCTAAACAAAACAGGTCACAATCAAAGCCTTTACTTGAACTGTGAGAGGCTTCATTCCTTGCGTGGCTCCAGTATTTGCAGTGGGCTTACAGCAGAAACAGGCTAAAGCTTATTGTTTGGAACAGAACACACAGCACTAAATTTTGTGATCTGCTACGCACCTCTGAGCAGAGTAAGGAGTTATGTTTTAACTCATATTCCAACTGTGTCAACAAAAAAAGCTCCTGGCAGATTAATAAAAGAAGTAAAGTTCAACACTGCCTTCTGTATCTTGAAGCAAACACAAGATGCAAATAACAATTTAAAATATCAGGACAGATATTATCAATTAAGTTTGAAGTAAGCAAGGCCATTTTTTTTGCTTTTCTCTTAATCTTGTCTGAGATAGAGCAGAGTAAGATCACTAAGATAATTTGCCATTAGCAAAGCTTAAGGTTGGAAGCTTTCAGGTCTCTGGTAGGTGCATGCATTCCCCAGTGTGATGTTCTTTTTTCTATACTTAGCTGGAATCCCACTGAGCAAATGGATTGCACGTACAAGAGCAGAACGAAATCAGGCTTTTAGTGTGACAACTTTTCTCCCTACGCTGGCTGGGGAAAAAGAAAGAAGATTTAAAGTATAAAAGAATAAATATAAATAATTTCAGGGAACCTATTTAGTGAATGGATTTGTAACAGGTTTTAGAAAACCATATCTGAGGTCTACATGTAATCAACATTAACTAAATAATTACACACAACATGACTGATTAAATTTCAAGAAGTAGGGGAAATAACTAAGCCACTTAGAAGTTAAGTAAGTCACTTAACTCTCTTTTCAGCATTGTTTAGTCATCATGAAAATAGAGCAAATAAAATTAGCTACCATCTGACATCAGTATTTCTAAACTCTCAGAGTCAAGGGTAAAAAAAAATCCAGGGAAAATGTACTGTAACCTCCCATAACCTCAAGGCTATGGTTGCATTCCACATACAGAAGCTCAGGAATCCTTAAACTCAGCAGTACTTTGGTGCCTTCTGCTATGACACTGAGGCATGAACACATGCTGTAGGCAGACTCTCAGCTCCATGGGTATAACGCCTACAATGTCTGGAAAAGCTGGGATCTACAACACCCTAACAGTAATTCAGGCAAAAGTCTACAAAAGCTCTCTATCAAATGAATCAAGCCAAACATGTTTCTGTTTAAGTGTTTTCACTTGAGATACTCAGTGTCTTCTTCACCTCAGTCTTTATTTGAAAAACTGGCCTTTGGGAATCACAGGTCCTTTGGGTCACTGGCAAATCCTGGAGTAAGGAAGACATCCTTGGTGGATGAGAATCAGATTAAATAACCTGGACATACATAAGCCCATGAAGCCTGGCAGAAAGCACCCGTGAGTACTGAGGGAGCCGACTGATGTCATTGCATGCCAATCCGAAGAGGTTCCTGAAGACTGGAAGAAAGCAAATTTCACTCCTACTTTCAAGAGAGGCAAGAAGAAAGATCCAAAAAACTACAGGTTGGTCAACCTCACCTCAATCACTGAGATGGTGATGGAGCATCTAACACTGGAGCCTAATGCTATACCCCAGTTGTCAATACTGGGGTCAGTACCATTTGCATTTTCATTAATGATCTTAAAATGAGACAGAGTCCACTCTTCAGAAGGTTGTAGATGATATAAAACCAGGGGTGGGTGGGGTGAGCAGCAGATGCGCCAGAAGGTTGTGCTTCCACTCAGTGGGATGCCAAGAGGCAGGAGAAATGGGTAGAGAGTTAAAAAAAAAAAAAAAAACACCAAGTCCTGCAACTGAGGAGGTAGATGTTCAGACAAATGACAGATCATTCACAGAAAAAATATTTAGGGCCCAATTCATTGAAGCAGTGATGTATGCATTGCAACTGACTGCTAGATGGTCTCTTGTACAGTCAACTGTTGTCTTGCTTGAATTCAAAGACAGGCAAGTAATCTTGGTTTCTGTTTTTCTCTGAGTTTTTTGTCACATGTTGAAAGTCTTCAAGCAGCCAGAACCCCTCTGGCAATGAATGCTAATGAATATAATGTTTCATGTAATGTCATGAATTAGCTTTACCCTTCAAGAGACAGTGATGCTCAGTTTAGGGACTGAGAATATGTGTTCTCTTGATACAGAAATTGTAAGCTAAACGTGTAACCTAACAGGGAAATCCAGAGAATTTTCCACAGGTAAAGTCTTCTATATTGCTCTTATGATGCAAACCTTTAGTGAAACATAGACTATATGGCTGAACTGAATGATTTCCCTTGTCACAGATGTTAGAGCTTCAAGAAAGTGTTGTGCCAACAAAGGGATAGATGAACAGTTCTGATATTAACAGTAGAGTTACACATTAATACACCCAAAGTGCTTCAATTTCTCCATTTAAGTTTTTCAGAAATAAACTTTCTAACACTGTTCAGCAGGAGTTCTCAGCAGTAATGCCAATAAAGAAGCACAAACGAGTAATTTCTTTATCAGCTTTTTTACAAAATTTCATATATCATGAACACTTGCTGCTGTTTCCTGTGTTCCTGTTAGTTTCCTTCCACATTATGTCTAGGGAGGGGAAAAAATTATAGATGGGTGATCTCACCATGCAATACATCTGGACTCAGTCAAATGTTACCATTCAGTTATTCTATGGAGATCTTTGTATAAAACAGTTTAAAGTACAGGTTGTTATAGAATATTAACACATAACGAAAGACCTTGTACAGTGAAATGTAAGAGGTCACCAAGTGTGCTTTATAAATTATCTTACAAAACCTTCTGAGCGAGTGTAATTTGAGGTTTAAGACAAGTGGAGAGAGTATAAGCTTGACTGCCATCTTGACAGCATAGATATAAGTCAACTCAATGAGTGAGGAATGGATAATTTGATGCAAGGCTGGTGCAACAAGGATAGCTGCAACACCTCTCATTTTAGCCTAAAAATATTTTAAACTGCATAGTCTAGTCTGTTTTGAATGTTATAGACTAGAGTGCTAGTACTTGAATTTTACCATAACTTGGCTTTAGTCGAGTTTTATTAGTGGCAACTGGATAACAAGGCAGTTCTTACCTAAGTGTGTTTAAAATCTATACACTGGATCCTGGAACAGCCTAAAAAGAACCCCCGGAACCAGATTTCTTTGCCTTTTTGAGGGTGCAGTGGAGGACGGATACATGAAGTTGATACCTCAGGGCCATGGAAGCAGGAGCATCTCCTGGTGACTGGTGATGACCTTGAGGGATCTCTGGGACACAGTAAGATTTTCAGGTACACATTTAAACCTCTAGCACTATAGGAGTATAACCATGATGGATTTTACATTGAGGTTTGATGTTTGGATGTTTTATAGTAAATACTACAATTATAAATGGTAGTAATTATTTGAATCAGCTGCAAATATTATTTTTTTACTTTAATCTCTACTTTTCTTAAAACAAGATTTATTTCAAAGAATTCAGGAAAAGGTAAATGAAGACTTTTTAATGGACATAGTCAAAACTGCCTTTCTAAACTTTTTTCAATCTCAAGTGCATAATTGTTCTGTTGAGAGAAGTGTTCCTACAAAAATGTTCACCTGATATCCAATAATTAAATATCATCTTTTTTTGTCCACATAGTAGGAAAAAAATATTTTTTTAAAAAGGTTGCATAAGGTAAAGCTAAAAAATGCTTTCCTGTTTACTAGAAAAGAACATCTGCAAGGATAATTAACTCACAACAGTAACTAACAGGGATAGTTTACTAAACACAATTAGTCATTAATGAAGTTATGTTCTCTGAGTCCTGCTTTAATTTTTTGTCATATTATTTTACAGTTTGATTTTCCATCAAACTCTGATTTCCACTCATTGTTCAGTGTTTTCCACACAGTCCTAAAACCACATGAAAAATAAAGATCTGTGAGAAAGATGGTTCAGTGATTTGACATGGTGTTCTTCAATGACCGTTAGACACCCCTAATATGACATAGGAACCCCTAATAATTAATGTACACATAAAAAAAAAAAAAGAAAAAGAAAAAAGAAAGAAAATAATAAAAACACTAACCTGAAAAAAGTACTCATTTAGCTTTATATTGTCTAGCGATGCACAATTCTTCTGTTGATTTGTAAGTTAACAGGTAGAGGCTGTTACTTCTCTTCAGAGTGTTTTAACTCCACCAGCAGTTTACCCGCAAGCCTGAACAAAATAGAACACACAGAGCTTGATCCAGCTTCTCTCACAGTGGAGGTGGGTCTTTCCATAAAGATCACCAAAAATTATCATATATTCTATGTTAAAACTCAGGGTTTAGCCTTACAGCTTAAGAGAGTAAACAAATTTAATCTAAATTTCCCTCACAAGGTTTCCCTGTTTCTATCAGAAATGTAATTCTCTCTGATCCAGAAAACCATTCCTTTCCCCCAGCTTACATCCCTTTCAGAGCCAGACATATCCATCTTTCAATATAACTCAAAAATAATTGCTCGAATTGTATAGTCAGATTTTTGCATCTGAGACTGATAGTGCTCGGCAAAAGAATTTCACATTCTTCTTACAAAAGTCTACTAGTTTACGCAGGAGGAAACTGACTCTAGCTCAATAAGAAAATCACCTGCCAAGTTCAAAATCCTCCCAAAAACTGAGTAATACCTCCCCACCCCCCTCGCTCCCCCACCCCTGATGATTACTGCAGAGTAGTTGAGTCAATCAATCAAGTTTAGTATTTGTGAAATAACCACTTTGTAAGAAATTATTAAGGGATTCTCAGGTACACCACACCCTGACTGTCATGTCTGAAAGTCATTTGCTTGCAAATGCTTTAAGCAAAACAGTGCAAACTGAAAACTGAAGAATACTAAGAATAAAACTGTAAAAAATAATTATCACATGCTCCATAATGTTAGAATAGCCCTTTAATATGTATAATTATAAGACTATTTCTTGTTTCATCTATGTTTAAATTATATTCATCCCACGGAGGGCATGTTCGAAGAAAATTTCCATTCGCTCATGGAACTAAGTTTCATTGGCTTCAAACTATTTATTTCCTCTCCACTGTATCATTACTTTTATGTAACTGTCAACTGAATATGCTCAAATATGTAATTTTAGGTTGTTTTATAAAGAAATCTGTGAATAGGACATCTTCCCAACAGATTTTTTGAATGACAGCTAATGGGAAGTAAAATTACAGTTACACTCTGATCCTCTGTCCTGCAGCAAAGTCTTACAATAAATCCCACAGAAGGGTCACCTCCTTCAGTCCATCTCTAGGTAGAAAACAACAACATCACAGCTATCAACATGTTCTTGGCTATAATTTTGACAGTTTTGCCAGTCAAGCCTCTGAGGTTTATCAAGATGCTATTGAAGTTGCAGTTAACAACACATAAAAATTTATGTCTCCATTACTTCAGTACCAAGAATTGTCAAAAAAATTTCTGTAAAAACTCTCTTTTAGTCATCATAAATAATGTTCCTACTCCTTTATTGACACAATGTAAGCATGTATGGCTGCTCATGCACTTCACACATAGCAAAAGAAAGTAAGCTTAATTTGCATAACAGTGAAGGGTTGGAGACCAAATAGAGAATAATCAGAATTCTTGTCGAATTAACAGCATTGGAATATTTTGTCCAGATGAGAGTACCTTTCTCAATTCAATGGACTAAAAAAAAAAAAAAGGAAACCAGACCAACAAAAAAACCCCTCAACCCCTCCTTTAAAATCCAAGTCAACCTTAAATTACCATTGGGAGTTTATGTATTTATATTCTTAGATATTCAGATTATTTCTACTAAGAGCATAATATGCTTCTACTGCTAGAAATATTAATCACTAAGAATGCTTACTGCAAATTTGTTTTCAAGTTAACCAGGAATATTTTTGTGGGGTAATTTCTTTCCATTTAAATAGTGCAGTGAAATGACAAAGTGATATTAAAGTCCTGGCTCTAATTCCAATAAAGTAATAAATATTTTTAATAAAAATGTGGAAAATAGTTTTCACTGAATTATGTTCTTATGTAACAAAAATATTTGTCCTACGAAAAGCTCTACGGATCTTTTAGCAACTGTGTGAAAAATCAAAATATGGTCACAAACCCAGCACTGTATGACCAGTCTTCCTTCCATTTCTTTGTGGACCCATCATAAATAATGAAAAGTTGATTTTTTTGACAGTAGAGTTCAATTCAAATAAACTCGGAAGCATCTACAATGCTTAACTGTGACACTTCTGAATACTTTTCTGGAAGTCATAAGGGAAAACTCAGGAGCACCAAACAAGAGCTTTCCCATATACCTTTTGTCATTTCTGCAAGAAATTAACTGGCAATGTCACATTTCTGAGTTCCTACCTAGTTTCTCAGAAATACAGGAAAGCTGTACATTCAAACAGTAAAGGAAACTTTAAGATTTTAGGTTAAGTACTATAAATATTTATTTTATACTCATGCCTCCTTGTTTTGGTTTGGTTTTAATGATTTATCTTATTTTAAACAGTGATTATAGAACAGTAGATTTACTTAGTTTGGTTAGGACTTCTGCTCAAAGCAAGGACAAGGAGATTAGGTTATTCAGGGACTTGTCCAGTCCAGTTTAGTATATCTTCAAGGTGGAGATTACACACCATACTGGAAATCCTGTTGCAGTATTTGACTGTCATTATATTCATGTTCTTCTGACCAGAATTTCTCATTTATCACCCCGTACCCATTGAATTTTGCTATACTATCTTGCACCACTAAGAATCCATCTCCATCTTCTCTGTGCTCTCTCATTACGCAGTTGAAGAGAGCACTAAGATCTCCCTGTAGCCTTATCTTTTTAAGGCTAAAGAAACCCAGCTCTCTTAACCTCTCCTCAATCATCAAGTGCTCCAATCCCCTGAACATCTCAGTAGCTCCTCATGGAGTTCACTCCAAGATATCAAAGACATCAGTGTCTTTTATGTCATGGGGTACTCAAACCAGACACAATACTCCAGATGCTGTCTCATAAGTGCTTAATAATGGGGGAAAATTACTTCCCTTAGCCTGCTGGCTTCTTTCTTGCTAATATTCTGCAGAATGCAGTTGGCTTTCCTTGCATGGTTTTCTTTACCAAGACCTGCCCACGACCTCTGCAAAGATGCTTTCTATCCTGCTGGCACTAAGCCCATGCTGCTGCATGGTGAATTATTCCAAGCTAGACACAAAACTTAGCATTTGCCTTTGTTGAAATTCATGAGGTTTCTGTCAGCTTGACCTTTTCCACGTCCTTTGTCATTAGATCCTCTGCCCCACTGAGCAATGGGCCCAGTTTCCCTAGGCTGCCTTTTGCTGCATATACTCACAAAAGCTAATCTTATTTCTTTTACAGTTCTTGATCCAACTGAGCTACAGCTTTCTAACCTTACCTCTACATGCTTAGACAATGCCTCTGTAGGAAATAACCAGGAAGCTCATCTCAGCTTCTATCTTCTGTGTACATTCTGGTTTTGCTTATCTTCAGTCAAGATTCTGATGTTCACCCCTTATGGTCTTCTGCAATAGCTATGTGGCTATCTGCATACTGGCATAGACCACTCTAACTGATGAGGTTGTCCTTGAAGGTTAACCAGCTCACTTGGGCCCTCTTTTTCTCCAGATCAGACTCCTACAGGATCATGCCACAAAGATCCCTGAACAAGACAGTTTTTTCTCCTCAAGTCTATGTGTTTCTATTTTTCTCCTCAAGTCCATGTCTTGGTCACTTTTTTTTCCCAGAATTTTAAACTCTACAGTCTCGTGGTCAATGCAATTAAGTCAACTGGTGACCTTCACATCTTTAGCCAGTTTTTTTTTCTTTTTTTCTGTGAATAACAGATGTTCAGAACATCTGACCTAACTGGCTCACTGATCACATGTGTCAAGAAATTGTCTTTTAACACACAACAGGCATATATCTTGGTTTGCTTGCACTCTGCCATGTTATGTTGCCCTTCTAGCAAATACTAAGATTTCCCATGATTTTCCTGGTCATGAGACTTCCTTAAGCTGGTTCGAGAATTCATCTACTTACTTCTTTTGGGCATGCAATTTGTAGCAGATGCCTTCCACTATGTAACTCAGGCTGGTCCGTCCCATGATCATTACTGATGGCTCTTTACTGGCTTGTCAACTGCAGCAAGACAAAGCTCTTTGCAACTGAGCCACTCCTTTGCCCAGAAGATTACAGTGACTGCTAACATAAAACGTCACAGTGCTCATTCTTTATGAAAAGAACTCTTCCTGCGCTAATTAACTTGCCCGCACCTCAAAGACTTTTCTATCTTCCAAAGCACTTTTGCAACTCAAGCAATTCATTTTAATCCTACAACTCTATGGGAACAGTAACAGGTACTGTCGGGTTTCACTCTTTACTTTGAGATCCACATATTAAACACCATATAATTTTTTTTTCTTCTCTCTCAGTGGACAAAACCCCCACAATTTCTATACATATTTTGCATACAATGTGACAGTTAACGTTTTACTCAGAGGGCTGATAGGGTTACACACAACTGACACATTTATATCTGCTTCTACATATGACTAAAAGATCTGCGTTTTGCAGAACCACTCATCTAAATTGGTTTGTTAAATCCTTCCATCACTTACCTAAATCAACAGCTTTTAAAAATTTATTGTATCACTTTATTTGCATTTATTCACTTACTCCTGTCAAGTGTCATACAGATGGTCAGCTATAGAAATTAATAAGAATAGGGGGTTATAGTTTTTTGGGGTGGTTTCTGTTTGGTTTTTGGTTTGGTTTTTGGTTTGGTTTTTTTTTTTTAATAAAATATTTTTCAATTTCTATATAATTGGGATGACAACTTTGGATTTATATAAAGCAAGTGAAGAAATAAAGTACAATATAATGAGTAATAAATAAATGTCCCACTGTATCTTTATACTGTCTCATAGACACCATGTGTAGACAACATTCTCCTGTGAGAAGTGCACATACATTTTTTCCAACTTATCTTTTATGTCCTTTTGCACATTAACTAAAAAGTAATGATGCCTTTTATCACAAAAACATGCCTTATCAAGGCAGTGACTTTTGTTTTGATGCCTCAAATATTTGTAATTCTTATAGAAGCTTAATACTGATAACCCTGAGCACTAAATTTATCAGAAGTCAATTTGGGGAAAAAAAAAAAGACTTTTCATTTGGTTTTTGAGTCTGCA